ACATTCATACATAATGATTGAGAAACAATCAAGGATTTTGTCTTATATATTTTTTAAGTGAAAAGCTGAAACAAACGTGGCTGAGGCAAACGCAATGTTATAGTTGGACAATATAGATTTTGTAAAAAAACTTGTTTAATTTATTTACGCTGTGCTGATTAAATATCTATCTAAAAATTGAATTTAACAAATGTAAATTCAAATAAATTTATTTTAGTGATAATTATGTGCAAAAAATTTGCAAATAAATCAAGTGAAAAACGCTTGAAAATCATGTGCTTGATTATATGAATTGTATCTATGATAAATACAATTGTATCTGTGACAAATACAATTGTCAGAGATAATTGCTGATAATAGATTGCTATAAATGCTAGAAAAAGGTATGCTTTAGTAGCAAGTTTACAAAGTAACCGGACCCTACACAATTTATCTAAGCTTTGCGATCTTTTTTGAATTCAAAACTGATACTTTGAAAAAGAAGACATTGCTGAGTATTAAAAAAAGATATGACATTTCTTAATATTTACAGTAAAATATTTATTAATAGGATCTGAATATATGATTTCCTCTTTCTTTTTTTTAAATTAAAGAAATAGAAAATAATGTGATTCAATGTTACTTTTATATGATATATTATAATTGACGTTTAATTGACGTGTAAGAATTAAATAAAAAAAATTATTTTCTATTTTAAACAATTGACTTATCTACTTATCTCCACGATGTTTAGTAGATGTTTAGTAGATGAATTAGACTTAGAAAATCCAGTCTAAAATAAAAGTATCAAAAAACGTTATAATCAATGTGTGTACTCAGTATGCCTTGATCGTATTGAATGAATCTTACAAAGAGATTCCTCTATTATAAAATAAACATTAAAAACAATAAAAATATAAACAAAATATATAGTATTGTAAAATATAGAATTGTAAAATATAGAATTGTAAAATATAGTATTTTAAAATATAGTATTGTAAAATATATATAGCTATATATAATAAAATGAACAACGGAAATTAATAACAATTTTTTCATAATTAAAAAAAGCAGTTACTTACCAACCAAATAGTACATCATGACTACAACGTTCCGCATTTTGCTGACAATAACAAAATGAACAATAACAGACTGAACAGTAAACTGATATATACAATCGAATTAGATGGACAACCTGCACGACTTACTAGTGCTATCTGTTGAATTAATTGTGTAATTATTCATAAACAGTTAGAAGGCATATTGGATACTAATAGGGTCCGGTTATCTTACAAAACTTTGTTTTAAGTAATTTTGATAATTATCCATAAAAAAATGCAATTATAAAATTGTGCAAAATATGTCATTAAGAATTTTCCAATTTATTATTTATTTATAAAAGTATTGTTATATTGTTTATGTATTTATTTTAAAGTTTAGTTGATATATTTAGTTTAATATATTCCTATATAAGATTTATGAAATATGATTTAATATGAGATTATTTTAAATAAAATTATTGAAACAATGTTTTGTCGAAAAATAATTATTTTTTATTATTAATAATTTTGAAACAATTTGCTACAAACGGATTTTTGTTTAATCAAGATTACAATAAAATTATATTTATTTCTTTATACTAATAAAAAATTTAAGTTATATAATATTTAAATAATTAATATGTAATATTTATAAAATAATTTAAAAATAATTTTTTTATATAAACTTTTTGTAAGCTGCTTATTGTTTTTTCTATCTTTAATTTAGTTGTGTGAAATAGATGAAAGACAGTTAATGCGGATCGTTATTAAAAAAATTTTCTAAACAATTTACTTTTTACTACAATGTTTATTTCTTCTCAAAAGCTTTATTAAAGATTCTGTATAATGCAATCGCGGCAAAACCTGTTGACATAATAAGAATCAGAATGAATGAACATTGAAGTTGTTAAGTTAATTTCGCTCTATACTCAATTCACGATGAAAAATCGTGATCATATTCAATAAATTTTCATTGTATAAAAAATGAATTTAAAATGTATGATAATTTTTTCAATATAATTTTTAAATTTCAAGACGTTATAAATGCGTTGTCTATATTGTGAAAAATGACTTTGGTATATAAAGGCAGTCAAAATTTATACAACATTAGGTATATTTCGAAACTCATATATCACAACAATACTAGCTTAATTGACGAAACTGAAAAGAATTTTAATAAATATAGGCATATACTAGTTACATAAACTTATGTTAATATTTGAAATTGTCGAAAACTCAGTAATTTTATGACATATATATATATATATATAACCGTATTAAAAACTTAGTTTACAAAAAACTAGATGTTCCGAC